CAACTTCAGTGAGGAGAATCTTATTGGCGACGGATCCCTTGGTCCTGTTTATAGAGCAGAGTTTCCAGATGGCAAGGTAATATGGAAAAAAAAAAAGTCCTGTAATTCTAGATTATATCTTTTTGCTAAACACAAAACTACCAGTGGCTTCTCCATAACTAGACAAAGCCTCAAGGTGTACTTTTTTTTTTAAACTTCAAGGTATCAATCATTTTCCTTACTATATTCTACTTCGATAGATTTTGGCTGTGAAGAGCATAAAGACAATACCTCTATCCATCATCGAGGAACAGCAATTCTTTGACGTCATCAAGAACGCATCACGTATGAGGCACCCTAACATCGTGCCACTCGTTGGGTTCTGTATGGAACGCGGCCAGCATCTTATTGTGTACGAACACATAAGGAATTTGTCGCTCGACGAGGCTCTGCATTGCCCCGCATACACACCTCTGTCTTGGGGTTTACGCCTTAGGATTGCTCTTGGCGTGGCACAAGCTCTGAAGTAAGCAATAAATGCCTTTCCTGCGTAATGTATCTTATAATAATTGTCTCACTCAGACGTTGAACTTGTTTCAGTTACACACATACGTCCTTCGTGCCACCCATCGCCCACAGTAACATTAAGGCTGCGAATATCTTGCTCGATGAAGAGCATATGCCCCACGTTTGTGATTACGGCCTAGCTATCTTGAGGCCCCTTGCCTGCAACTCAGTTAAGATCAAGGTAAAAAGTTATGGGACTGTAAAAATAGTAATGTTTTATTCGGTACGTTGAATTTAGTTGAATCAACAGTTGTCTGGTGTGCAAAATGTGCATTAACAGGCTTCAGAAATGGCGATAGCTGATAGCGGCTACATTGCACCTGAACATAATCAACCTGGAAATGGGAACATTAAGGCTGATGTCTATGCTTTTGGGGTGTTGCTTTTAGAGCTTCTCACAGCAAGGAAGCCTTTTGACTAGTTGAGCCTGTCCATTACAATTCTTTCTTTTCTTTTCTTTTTTTCTAATTGAATTTTCAATCCTTTTCAAAAGAACATATCTTTATATTGTCACAATTTGCAGCTTGAAGCCCACAGCCGAGCAATCTCTGGTGAGATGGGCTTCATCCAAGCTTCACGACAGCTTGTCTTTAGTAGAGATGGTCGATCCAGCCATGGCAAGAACCGTCTCCTCCAGGTCCCTCTCCCATTTTGCTGACATTGTCTCTCTGTGTATTCAGGTAATGCAAATGAGAAAAACTGCAAAAACTACACTTATAAGTTCCCCCAAAATGAAAAATAACTCGTTCTTTCTGTGTTTTGTAAATGTGAAATCAGCCCGAGCAGCAATTCAGGGCCGCAATGTCTGAGATCGTCGAGTCTCTGATGAATCTGCTCCGACGGTCTGTTGTTGCCGATGGCAGTGAAGCAGACCCTTTGAGTCGGTCTTTTAGGTCCAGCAACACCCACTTTGTTGGCTCACCTGCTTCAAGCACCTACTGTGTATAATCATGCTTTCTTTTTTTTTTTTTTGGTTACCAATACTAAATGTTCTACAACAACAGCTGCTATTGATGCTCAACACTCGAATGCCGAATTCGAATTAAGAACCGAACTAAAAATGTTTGATTCGCTTACAAGCCTTAGTTGCATTTGCATATGCTGGATGGATGACTTGAATGAATTTCCTGCGTTTTCTTTAGGTCATTCCAGATGCTAGTCTCTTTTCATCTGTTAAAACCGTTTGGCAAAGAAAAAAATTTAGAGTCAACAAACAGTTAATTGAATCAATATTACAACATTACCAAATTAGTATTTATTTATTATCCCAACAGAGAGAGAGAGAGAGAGAGAGAGAGAGAGAG